TTTAGGTGATTGTCCACTAGGACTCCGAGGTCCCTCTCACAGTTACTACTATTGAGCAAGGTGCCACCTATGCTGTACTTGTGCAATTGGTTTTTCTTGCCTAAATGTAGAACCTTGCTTTTTTCACCATTGAATTTCATTTTGTTAGATAGTGCCCAGTGTTCAAGTCTGTTCAGATCCTTCTGTATCTTAAGCCTGTTTTCTGGAGTGTTGGCTATTCCTGCCAGTTTGGTGTCGTCTGCAAATTTGATGAGTTCCCCATCTATCCCCTCGTCCAGATCATTGATATGTGGAGGGAAGCATGCAGTGGGGTACCCCAAGGCTCTCTCTTAGGCCTAGTACTCTTCAATATCTTCATAAATGATTAAGATGAAGGAAGAGAAGGGGGGAATAGCCAAACCTGGAACACTGGGCCATTTAGAGCAAAATTCATTTTAGTGGTGAAAAAAATGAGGTTTTACACAGGCATGAAAAACCAAATGCGCATCTATAGAAGAGGTTGGATCTATCCCAACAGCAGTAACTGTGAGAGGGATCTAGGACTCCCAGTGCACAATCACTTAAGTATGAGCTAGCAATGCATCAGCCCCTGAAATACCGAAAGACTTATCAGGTCACCCTTAGTCCTTCTCTGAGTTAAATTAGACATATCCAGTTCCTCCAACCGCTCGTCATGTTTTCACATCCAGTCCGCTAAATATCTTTGTTGCTCTTTTCTGCACTCTTTCTACAGTCTCAACATCTCTTTTTGTATCATGACCAAACCTGGATGCAGTATTTTAAGTGCAGCAGTAATTCATTACTAACGCTTCATGTGATCTTGATAGTATCCTTCTGGTAATGCAGAGTAGAACTGCACTCACTTTTTCTGCAGCTGCATCACATTGCCAGCTCATACTTAAGTGATTGTGCACTGGAAAAGACAATGACGGTGGACACAAGGACTACAAAGAAATTAGACAAACGAGAGCAACAAACCCTAAGTATAAGTAGAGGCTTCCAAGAAGCACTAGCAATTCTATCATTAAATGTTAATGGGTTAAATTCGCCAGGGAAAAGGAAAAAATTCTTTAGTAAATTGTATAAGACAAATGTGAATATAATAGTGCTGCAAGAGACGCACGTAAAACGGCAGCACCAATACTTGCTAAAATGTTCTACGTTAGGAAAGATGTTTATATCTTCATCACAACAGAAGAAAGGGGGAACTGTAATGTATGTAAAAGAGGGTATTTTGGCTAAACAGGTGTATAAAGAGGGTAGAATACTGATAATAGAATTAACCATGGACGGGAAAAAACTGATGTTAGTTGGAATGTACGCGCCAAATGAGGGTCAAAAACTATTTTATAAGACACTGTA